AACCTTAAAGCTAGTATAGGAAAAAGCAGGGAATACACTGGAGGCAACAGGCATAGGCAAGGACTTCCTCAGTAGAACTCAAGTGGCTCAGCAACTAAGAGAAAGGATCAACAAAAGGGACTACATGAAATTAAATAGCTTCTGCACAACAGAAGAAATGGTTTCTAAATTGAAGAGGCCACCCACAGAATGGGAGAAAATCCTTGCCAGCTATATATCTGACAAGGAGTTGATAACCATAATATATAGGGAGCTCAAAAAATTAAACTCTCAAAAAATCAATGACCCAGTGAAGAAATGGGCAAGTGAACTGAACAGAGCCTTTTCAAAGGAAGAAGTCCAAATAGCTAAAAAATACATGAAAAAATGCTCACCATCCCTGCCCATAAAGGAAATGCAAATCAAAACAATATAAAGATTCCCCCTCACTCCTGTTAGAATAGCTAGCATCAAAAACACCACCAACAACAAATGTTGATGAGGATGTGGGGAAAAAGGAACCCTCATACACTGCTGGTGGGAATGTAAGCTAGTACAACCACTATGGAAAACAGTATGGAAGCTCCTTAAAAAACTAAAAATAGACCTGCCATATGATCTAGCAAACCACTCCTAGGGATATACATAAAGGAATGTGAGTCAGCTTCCAACAAAAGCACCAATGCTGTACACTCATGTTCATTGCAGCACTATTCATAATAGTCAAGCTATGGAAATAGCCAAGATACCCCACTACTGACAAATGGATTAAGAAAATGTGGTGTTAAAAATAAAATTAATCCGACAAAAAAAAAAAAAGAAAATGTGGTGTTTATACACAATAGGATTTTTTTCAGCCACAAAGAAGAATGAAATTTTGTCATCAGCAGGTAAATGAATGGAATTGGAGAACAGCATCTTAAGTGAAGTTAGCCAGGCTCAGAAGGCCAAAAACTGCATGCTCTCCCTCATGTGTGGATTATAGACCTAACACAAATGTAGTCACACTAAAGGGAGGTCACGCATAGGAGGGGTAGGGAAACTAAGAACTTGAATAGGGTTGATATACTCACTATACAGGAATGAATATAGAAATCTCAAACTGATTGAAACTACCATAAAAAAAAGGGACTAAGGTAGAATGAAGAAAATTAAAGGAGAAAAACCAATTGGGGTTATAATACATTCATACTTGGAAATATCACAAGGAAACTCCCCACATAGCTACCTTTATCTCAAGCTAAAATGTCATGTTTTTTTGTTTTATCTTTTTTTTCCTACAGAATTTGAGAATGGGGGTGCAGAATGAGTCCTTCCCGGGGGGAAAGCTGGCACCAGTGCGAGGGGGGAGGTGTTGAGCAAAGGGGGTAGGAGGTGAATATGGTGCAATAAAATGTGTACACATGTAAGTAAATGCAAAAGTGATACTTGTTGAAACTACTCCAGGAATCAGGGGAGGGAGAGATGGAGAATGGATGAGGAGGTGAATTCATGTATCATATATTTGATACATTGTAAGTACCTGTATATATGCCACAGTGTACCCCCACCTTGCACAACAATAGAGGAAAAAAAAAGGAAAAGGAACACCAACATCTTAAGAATAGGGAAAGGAAGAAGAACCAGCAAAGACTGACTACAAATAAAAACATAGGAAGGAAACCCATAACAAATAGGTTTTGAGGCCAAGGGAAGAAAGTGTTTCAAGAAAGAGGTTAATAGTTAACTGTGCAAAATCTATCACAGGTCAATCAAAACTAAAAAGTATCCAGCAGGTTTAGTAACAAACATGGAGGGGTTTTAGTTTCACCATCCCTGGCCATAAAGGAAATGCAAATCAAAACAACATTAAGATTCCACCTCACTCCTGTTAGAATAGCTAGCAGCAAGAACACCACCACCAACAAATGTTGGTAAGGATTTGGGGGAAAAGGAACTCTCATACACTTCTGGTAGGAATGTAAGCTAGTACAACCACTATGGAAAACAGTATGGAGTGGGAGGAACAGAATCCAGATTGGAATGGGGTTAGTGATGGACTTCACAGAAGGTGAAGTAAAAGTGACAACTCTATTGCTTCCTACCTAAATTACAAGACATCGCTTATGCAATGGATTCAACAAGGTCTTTGTCCATGCATACATAAATACATGTCATTCTCAAACCTATATGAATGTGTCTTAATTCTTCAATTATATTGGGAGATTGTAAAGAAAATGCTACTACCTATGAATTACCCTCTACCTAAGATAGTCTATGGCTTACTATACACACTCAGTAAATGCTTGTTACATATAAATGGATACCTTTTAAAAATAGTTTTAAGATAGGTGCAGTGGCTAGTGTTTATAATTCCAGCTACTCAGGTGGCAGCAATCTAGAGGACTGAAGCTAGAGCCCAGCCAGGCAAAAAAGCTATCCAAGACCCCATCTCAATAAAAAAGCTGGGTGTGCTGGTGCATACCTGTCATTCCATCTACACAAAAAACTTAAGAAGGAGGATCTCAGTCCATGGAAAAAAACACAAGACCCTACTTGAAAAAAAAAAAACCAAAAAAAAAAAAAAAAAAAAAAAACCTAAATCTAAAAGGTCTGGTGGAGTGGCTGAAGTGGTAGAGCACCTGCCTCGCAGGGCTGAGGCCCTGAGTTCAAATCCCCAGTATTAAAAAAAAAAAAAACCAACAAACAACCCAAAAACCCTTCAAATTACTAAACATGATAATAATTCATGAAAATATGCTTGGAGAGCTATTTATTTAACTTATTAACATCTATATAAAGTCTACTGTATGCTTGGCAGTTTGGTAGGAACTATAACTCACATTTTAGTGGAAGGGAGATATGGACATCCAAGTAAATAAAATTCCACAAATATTAAGAAACAAAAATGTCTTATTCTAATATTACTGTGTACAGAATTAGTCTGTTAGAAGAATACTTAGACATGTATATTGATGTAAGTCAAAAGAAATTAGCAGCCAGGTGCCCTGGCTCACAGTTGTAATCCTAGCTACTCAGGAGGCAGCGATCAGGAGGATCAAGGTTCAAAGCCAGCCTGGGCAAATAGTTTGCAAGACCCTATCTCAAAAAAACCACCATAAAAAAGGACTGGTGGAGTGGGTCAAGGTGTAGGCCATCAGTTCAAACTCCAGTATTGAAAAAAAAAAGGAAAGAAAGAAGAACTACTAATAAAACATTTGTTTTCTTTCCATAGTTTGAATGCTGTTCAGTCAGATAATGAGTAACAAAAAGAACAGATGAGTTATCTCCCTCATCTCCCAATTATATATTTAAAATTTCAGGATGAAATAGTCTATTTCTGACCTAGATCTTATTGTTACTTATGCCCAAGGGAGGAAAAAAACCCTCATTTACATAAGGAACAGAATGGCTCTGAGGTAGAGTTACAAAGACTCAATTGCAGGAACCCTCGTCTCTCTTATTTAATCCTTTGTAAAATGCAGAAAGAACCAACCATTGGGAAAATGAGATATCTCTTAATCTTTTGTATTACAAAGAAGTAAAAATTTAAGACTGTGCCTCTTATTCCAAAAAGATTTGTACAGTTTACCATGGACCAGCTGTGTAAGATTATTTTAATTATAAAAACTGTGAAAGAAGTACTTTGAGTGAGCTATTTATTACTCCTTATGTCATTTAATTATTATTTTTGTTCAATATACTTATAGGTTTAGAAAGAAGCATTCAAATTACCATTAATTGTCCCATCTCTTTACTGAAATATGATTTTATCTGCTAATATGATAGAAATGATAGGATATGATTTTTCCTGTAAAACACAAAATAAGTAGATAAAATGATGACTGTGCTGTTTTGTCTTTTTTCCTAGAAAAGATTTATACAGTAAATTTAAGCAATAAAGCAGGGCTGTGGATGGCCGCCATTGTCATCCCACAGCCTGCAGCAGCCGTCATCTCAAGTCCCTCCCTCCCACGCCCAGTTCTGCCTGCCAGCCCAGCCAAATGAATGGGCTCTGCCCAGCACTGTGAGTAGTGCTGCAGACACTGAAAATCTGTCAGGAAAGGAAAATTATCTGTCAAAATCTAAATTTTCAACCTTTGTGGCCAAATAAATCTCTTTACCTTTGAAATTTTATCAGCAATGTCAAAGGGTCTGCAGTTCATAGACTTAATTCCTGTAGCTCATCCTTGCTGTTAATGGAGTCTTTCTAAATAGCAAAAGAATGCTACTGCAATCCATTTCCTAGGGGTGAAAGCAAAGCCTTTTTGTCCCAAGGGGCAACTGAACAAGCACCAGCTCTCTAGCTGAATAGCCACGGTGTAAGGCAGCTACAATTCCCACAGTTTAGAAGCCCAACTGCAGAAAGAGGCTATTTACTGAATTCACATAGAAACACATCAAAATAAAATGCAGTTGGGCTGAGATTGCACAGTTGTCTGTGGATCGAGGCAACATTACAAAATGGTTTTCCTTTGCCTTACATAACTCTCTTTTTAATTTGCTCTGTCTCTTTGTGTCTCTGTCTCTCTCTCTCTCTCCCTCTCTCTCTCTCTCTCCTCCATATTTTCCAGAAAAAAAGAACAATGCAGAGAGAAAACTGTACATATAGGTAGAAGTAGCATCTGAACTAGATTCTCTCTCCTTGTATTTTCCAAATTCTACATCAGGAAAGATGGTTCATTTCTAGGGACAATATACCACACAAAAAATATTACATAGACTCTGGCAAAGGAATCCCTAACAAATTATTTAGCAACTGTTTCTTCATTAGTTATTAATTATTGCCATGTTAGAACTTTTTTTTCTTCCGGTGTTAGGGATTGAACCCAAGACCTCTGCCATGCTAAGGGAGCACTCTAACACTGAGCTACACCCCAACCACTATTTGTGTGCTTTATCCAATATTTTTTTCCATCTCCCACTTTTGTTTAGCTATTTATGTACATGCTAAACAAGATCTGAAAATAAATTATTTGAGCCCGAGAAATTATTTTGAATGATTCGATTACTGAATCTTTTTTTAGATTAAAAAAATCACATTTTCCCTACCCAAGCTACCTTCGGCATCACTCCCATCTCTCCTTTATTTTTACAGGAACAAAAGATGCTGAATCCTAACCAAATGAAGTCGTGGCTGGAAGTAATTTTTCATAAATACTTAATCTCAACACAAATTCTGCGATTAGGTGGAGGGAAAAGCCTTACATAGGTGATTTTTAACTGTAGTTTGAGGCTTAAGCGATATAAAATTATCCAACCCCAGTCTTCTTTCTTTCCTCCCTTCCTCTTTCCTCTCCTTCCCAGCCCCACCCCATAATGGATGCTCGGCTGACAGCCTTAGCACAGCCTCTTTGTCTGAAGGATGCAAACAGTCTATGGATGCTAGGGAAAAAGGGGTGGGAGAAAGATTACCTCATCCCATGTGGTTTGCACCAATCAGCACGCTCCTGTCGTGGCTTCTCTGGGCAGATTGAGGGGTCTGGACCAACAGGAAAAGGCCCCGGCCCATCCCCATGGTGACCGAGTTGTATATAGGGAGCCGCATCCGCCCTTGTGCCGCAGGTTCTCTTACATCGACCGCCTAAGAGTCGCGCTGTAAGAAGCAACGACCTCTCCTCGTCGCCTCTCCGCCATCAGTCCGGCAGAAACCCAGCAGCAACAATGGTAAGAAGCTACTGTTTCCTTCTCTTTGTAAGCGGTGGGTGGAGTCAGTGCCCGTGCTCTACTCGGAAAAGCTTAAGCTTTTTTCTTTCGTAACCTCTTTGAAGTTTAGCTTTGTCTGCCATAAATCCTTCAGCATCGCCGCAGCAGTGCGGAGCGCAGAAACCCCGGTAGAAATGCGCCTTGAATGTGCAAGAACCGGGGGCAAGAACAAAGGCGGCGCCGGGGAGTTTTTTTGTCACCCGAGAGGTGGCCCTGGGGACCAGAGGCATCCCATCTGTCGTGGGGCAGGGAGGGCGACGGGGTCGTGTGACTCGGAGCGGCCCCTTTCCTTCCCAGGTCGTCCCAGGAGCAGGGAGAGGAGTCGCCGCCAGAGGAGCGGGCGGGGAGCGCGTGGGGGCAGGGAGCGACAGGCACAAATCCAAACCTCCAGTGTGCAGGGAAGGACCCCGCTCCGGCTGGTTGGCATTTTACAGCGACACCCGTGCATTAACGGGAAGATGGCTGGTTTCTGTTGGAGCCCATGACAGCCGGTGCCAGGAGGCGCAGGGGCGGGGTTGTTTGTTCCTTGCTGCTCTGGCGTTTGGGGCGGGGTTCGCCCTCACTAAAACCTCCTTCGTCGCGAGATGTGCAATAAAAACCTTTAATCTCTGCGGAACTGCGGGCTCCAAAGAGTCTTCATTGGCTGTTAAAACTTAGACGAAATTGTTTTTTTCCTTGAGGACCAAAAGGACAATTTACTTGACAATGGGGACACCCCGCCTTGAGTGTGTGTGTGTTGGTGGGAGGAGAAGCAGAGACAGCCTGAGAGAGACACAGAAAAGAGAGAAGAGAGAGAGACTGTAAGGGCTGCATGATTAGGGAGGGAGAAAGCCCACTTTGTGAGGCTCAGATACCCTAATTGTTCGAACCAAGGGAAACGCCCTTCCCCCCCACCCCCCTCAGTGACTAGACAATGAAAGTTGTACCTAGAAAGACTAGAGAACATCTCTATAGGTTAAGAACACGAATATTATGTGCTGGGTAGAAACTCTCAATGAAAATACTATTTCAGTGTTTGAAATGAATTCACTGTCCTTTCACTGTTTGTTTTGTACTACTCTTTGTTTCTGACTTAAGAGCTGTTTTAAAGATACTAATAATGTTTTCAGTTTTTTACAGCGGAGAACATTCTGGGGAAACTTTTTAAAAAATAATGAAATTGCTGCAGAGAATTATACCCTGCATCCAGCTGTCTTTTGTTCTAGTGCATCTTCATGAATTCATTTCAGTTCAGGCGCATGGTCCCAAGCTAGGCTGGAGGAAGAACACTGGCAGAGGAGCACAATGAGATCACATAGGCAGTTGCTGGAAATAGAGCTTACTCTGTTAAATAATGTAGCAGGCAGCACAGCCTAGCTCCAGGCCCAGCAAATATAGCAATGCAGCAGTGTGCAAGGCAGACCTCGTCTAGCCTCTAATGGCACAGTACTGATGGATGCTGCAAATAGACTGCAGAAGGGTGTGGCTTCTACCCTCAGCTGCAGTACAGATGCCCGTGTTGAAATACGAAGTCCTGTTTTGAAGAAGGAAAAGAAGCAATGAAATGAATTCCCATTAATGATGACTGATGAATTCATTTTACAAAATCTGTGCTTTGAATATTTTTCAAAAAAAAAAATCTTTTCATTTTTGGCTGTGGGAACAATGGGCTTGTACCATGTGCTACACAGAACCAAGTGACATTACTATTATTCAGACCACACCCATTTGCAGCAATTGTAACAGGTGATTCTCATTAATCATTTCTGTCATATATTAGGGACATGAACTCAAATAAATCTAAAGAATATTTGTATATTACTAGAAATATTTTTAGAAATCTACAAATTCAAAATGCAATTCATCTTAATTTTTTTCTTTTTTCCTTTCCACAGCGTGAGTGCATCTCCATCCACGTTGGCCAGGCCGGTGTCCAGATTGGCAATGCCTGCTGGGAGCTCTACTGCTTGGAACATGGCATCCAGCCTGATGGCCAGATGCCAAGTGACAAGACCATTGGGGGAGGAGATGACTCCTTCAACACCTTCTTCAGTGAGACAGGCGCTGGCAAGCATGTGCCCAGGGCAGTGTTTGTAGATCTGGAACCCACGGTCATTGGTGAGTTGACCTCAGTAACCCAAGGGGTTTCCCAAGGGTGCTGGGTAAGTGATGTGTCCTGGGGGCTCCTTGGTCCTTTAGGGTGGGGCAGGTTGTTAGTGATGGCTGACTCTTTTTCTGTTCCTTTTCCAGATGAAGTTCGCACAGGCACCTACCGCCAGCTCTTCCACCCTGAGCAGCTCATCACAGGCAAGGAAGATGCTGCCAATAACTATGCCCGTGGGCACTACACCATTGGCAAGGAGATCATTGACCTCGTCTTGGACCGAATTCGCAAGCTGGTATATTATTCTTCAGAATAAAGATAATGAGTATTAGAAAGACATTTGAAATATTGCTCTTTTTTTCAAACAAAGAATTGAAATGCAATAGTGAGAATGAATTTTTTTTCAAATTCAGCTAAAATGTAAACTATTTGGTATCATTTTGTTAATATTGAGGAATTTTAAATCAAATGCTAAGTATTCCAAGAAGGTGTGCCTTTTTTTTTTCCCCCAGTACTGGGGATTGAACTCAAGCCCTTGTGAATGTTATGCAAGCACTTTACCACTGAACTACATCCCTAACCCTCTACACTCTTTAAAAAGCATTTGTCAAAATAAGATCTAAATCCTTGAACATATTTGAAAAGTGAAAGTATGTTTACTATGACTGTATCACAAAACCATACACTTATCTTTATCTTTATCTCCTCTTTTCTTTTGCAGGCTGACCAGTGCACAGGTCTTCAGGGCTTCCTGGTTTTCCACAGCTTTGGTGGGGGAACGGGCTCTGGGTTCACCTCCCTGCTGATGGAACGTCTGTCCGTTGATTATGGCAAGAAGTCCAAGCTGGAGTTCTCCATTTACCCAGCCCCCCAGGTTTCCACAGCTGTAGTTGAGCCCTACAACTCCATCCTCACCACTCACACCACCCTGGAGCACTCTGATTGTGCCTTCATGGTAGACAATGAGGCCATCTATGACATCTGTCGTAGAAACCTCGACATTGAACGCCCCACCTACACCAACCTGAATAGGTTGATAGGCCAAATTGTGTCTTCCATCACTGCTTCCCTCAGATTTGATGGAGCCCTTAATGTTGACCTGACAGAATTCCAGACCAACCTGGTGCCCTACCCTCGCATCCACTTCCCCCTAGCCACATATGCCCCTGTCATCTCTGCTGAGAAAGCCTACCATGAACAGCTTTCTGTAGCAGAGATCACTAATGCTTGCTTTGAGCCAGCCAACCAGATGGTGAAATGTGACCCTCGCCATGGTAAATACATGGCTTGCTGCCTGTTGTACCGTGGTGATGTGGTTCCCAAAGATGTCAATGCTGCCATTGCCACCATCAAGACCAAACGTACCATCCAGTTTGTGGACTGGTGCCCCACTGGCTTCAAGGTTGGCATCAATTACCAGCCTCCCACTGTGGTACCTGGTGGAGACCTGGCCAAAGTACAGCGAGCTGTGTGCATGCTGAGCAACACCACAGCCATTGCTGAGGCCTGGGCTCGCCTGGACCACAAGTTTGATTTGATGTATGCCAAGCGTGCCTTTGTTCACTGGTACGTGGGTGAGGGGATGGAGGAAGGAGAGTTTTCTGAGGCCCGTGAGGACATGGCTGCCCTGGAGAAGGATTATGAGGAGGTTGGTGTGGATTCTGTTGAAGGAGAGGGTGAGGAGGAAGGAGAGGAATATTAAAGTTAAAATGTCACAAAGGTGCTGCTTTTACAGGGAAGCTTATTCTGTTTTAAACATTGGAAGTTGTGGTCTGATCAGTTGATTTGTATGCAGCAGTGTATGCTCTCATATACAATTACTGACCTATGCTTTAAAACGTGAATGCTTTGTTACAGACCGGAACTGTCCATTTCTCTGATGGGTTTTGAATAAAGTATTCCCTGTCTTAAAAAAGTTGTCTTGTGTTTTCTATTTAGGTGTCAAAATTTTTATGCATTCAGTACATTGAGAAGAAAGAGTAACTTTGCAAGAGGTTTATGCATACATTACCATGTGTCTTGTTTTTATTTTAGTTTTTTAAAACTTAAAATATAAACTATATAGCCAAAGATTACCATTAGATAACATCTCATTCTTAAGTTTTGATTCCTTATAATAAAGTTATTTAAACTTCCAGTAGTTTTTTTTTTTGTGGGGGTGGGGGGGGGGAGGACACAGGTCTTGTTATACCCCAGCCTAGCCTCAAACTCCTGCTTTTTGCCTCCTGAGAGATGGGATAATAGGCATGTGCCATCACGCCTGGCTCTGCCAGTACTTGTTAGAGTTAAAAAGTTGCTAGTACGTAGCAAAGGTCTTCTGGTTGGCTGCTGATCATACTGCTAACATAAAAATGGAAACTTCCAAATATAGGGTTTATAAGCAATTTTTTTGGTACTGGGGTTTGAACTCAGGGCTTCACACTTCACACTTGCTAATAAGGTGCTCTATCACTTGAATTATGCCTCCAGCCCTTATAAGCAACTTTTCATGCCTCCTCAACTGCTTGGCATGTTTCTAGTGCCACACTGCTTCTGCCATGGGTTCCCAAAAGAAATCTCTAAGCAAGTTCCTCCTTTACTGAACCTACATCTTTTATCTTTTTCCTAAACTTATTTTTAGCTGAGTAAAGCCTGGTAAAGTTATTAGCCTAATCTGTTAATTACATACGTAAATGTGAACTCTCTAAGGACATTTTTATTTTAATATAGGCCAATAACTTCAAGGAAGAAAATAATGTAGTTATAGGCATGAGCACCAATTTTTATAATCAGTTTTGAACCAAGGATTTCTCCAAAAATAGAGCTCTGCTGCCAGTCCAACTGACCAAAAGAGCAAGTTGTCTTCCCACTATCACATTGTCTTGCTCTGAGATCATACCCAGTGGGAACAAAATTATTTTTTTGGAACCAATTTTTCAATTAATCTATTTTCCCTTGACACTGCCAACTAAAGGGGTAATATAGTATTAGAATTACTGAATTTATGTTTAAATTAATAAAAATAATGCAGTATAAGAAACAGACATGGCTAGGGGTGTAGCTTAGTAGTAGAGTTTACACTTAGCATGCATAAGGCCCTGGCTTCAATCCCCAACATGGGAGAAAAATAAGGAAGCAAAATAAATAACCAAAGTCAGTTAATTTTAAAGTCAAGTCAATGCTGCTGAGCAATTTTAACTAGAAACCAACATGAATAGAGGTGATGTATGAAAAGTAAAAACCCTTGCTCATTCAGATTTAAAAAATATGGAAATGAGATCCTATGTATGTTTTAAATGTATATTCCCAGCAATAGCAAAGTATAGTAATATGATAGTTGTACAATGATTGGTGGTTAAGAGTCAAGTGTAAAATAAGAGAAACAGAAGTATAAAGTCATAGGAGTTAAGAACTCTGATCCCAACTTAAATTACAGAAAGAAAAACACATTTTCCAGCTTTGTCTACATTGAAAAGGCCTGGGACCAATATATCAACAAACATCCCTGATCACCATATGGTAGTCTCTAAATGCCATTTCCCATTAAAACAAATCAGAATATTTTAAAGAAATGATGGGTTCCAAATTGCCATTACAGAATGTAAGGAAGAGGGCTGGTGGAGTGGCTCAACTGGTACAGTGCCTACCTAGCAAGCATGAGGCCCTGAGTTCAAACCTCAGTACCACCAAAAAAACCTAAAAACAGAATGCAAGGAAGATATTAAAGACTATTAAAAATCAGATGAAAAGGATATAGGAAGGAGATGTGGCTCAAGCAGTAGAACACCAGATTTGCAAGCATGAAGCCCTGAGTTCAAACCTGAGTCCCACCAAAAGAAAAAAGAGATACAGGGAGCTGGGTATAGTGGTATAGTGGTTAATACCTGTAGTCCCAGCACAAGAGATACTGAGGCAGGAGGATCATATGTGTCCAGGAGTTTTAGCACAGCCCAGGAAACATGGCAAGACTGTCTCCAAAAATGAAAAAAAAAAAAAAAAAAGCCAACTTGAATGGGGCTATCATTGATAGTACTGACTGTTAACAGATTGAAAGATATAAAATATGTTAAAATCCATGAGCTCAAAATATTTTTGTTTAAGTTTTTTAAAAACTGAAAAACTATATGAAGTTGGACATGGTTGGGCTCAAAAAACCAAAGACAACCAAACAAAAAACAGTATGCAGTTCCAATAAAGGAGAGAGAGAAGAGAAGAGATGAGAAGAGAAGAAAAAAAGGAAAGAAGCATAATTACCATATGTTCAAGCAATTTTATTTCTATGTATATACCCAAAGAATCGTGTGTTAGTAACTTTCTTTTTCCTGCAACAAAAAAACTTTTTTCCTTTTTTTTTTTGTGGTCCTAGGGCTTGAACTCAGGGCCTTCACCTTGAACCACTCCACCAGCCCTTTTTGTGATAGATTTTTTGGAGATAGGGTCTCACTGAACTATTTGGTGGAGCTGGCTTTGAACCTCAATCCTCCTGACCTCTGCCTCCTGAGTAGCTAGGATTACAGGCCTGAGCCACTAGTACCTTCCAGGGTTTTTTGTTTTTGTTCTTTTTTGTAGTGTTTTGGTAGGACTGGGATTTAAACTCAAGAGTTTCGCACTTGCAAAGCAGGTAGCCACACCTCCAGTCCATTTTGCTCTAGTTATTTTAGAGATGGAGTTTCTGGAACTATTTGCCCAGGCTGGCCTTGAACCATGATTCTCCTGATCTCAGCCTCCCAAGTAGCTAGGATTATAGAAATAAGCCACCAGTGCCTGATGTCAAATAAGACATTTAAACAAAAAGCATACCTTTACATAGCATGTTTATATTTTCTGCCCTTGCTAGATGTTTGTTATAGAGAAGGGAATCCAATGGAGAACAAAAAATTAATGGAATTAATTTCACTAACAGGCCTGTGGCAGAGATGTACGAAAATTTGAAAAAAAAATTTGTATGAAAAGTTGAGCAAAAATGAGGCAGTTATGAAGTTCAGGAAAAGATTCTGTGAGAAAGTAGGAGTGATTAGATTATATTTGCTTCAGCACTGAATAGTACTTAAAGCAGTGACTTGTTTAAATTAAAACCGTTGGGAGTATTGGAAAGTAAATAATATCCAAAATTGATGAATTAAGAAATAGTAGCATAGGTATATTCCTTAGAAATAAGCAGGAAAACCCAAGAGAAATGGCAAGATACATTGAGAGTAACTGCCTCTGGTGAACAGAATTGGAGCAGAGAAGGAATAATGGAGGAAAACTATTGTTTTAAAATATTTGAATCTCAGTTAAAAATTTATAAACTTTTTATTATACTATGACATACATCTAACAATCTACATAAAGGGTATAAGTCATAAGTGTTCAGCTTGATAAATTAAACCAAAGTGAATACATGTTATGTATATCAGCAACCAGATCAAGAATATTTGATTTCTTGACTATATTTTCTTTGATAAATAGGTTAAATTAATAAGAGTTCAGATATCAGAATAAATAAGGTGGGCATGGTAGCTCATGCCTGCAATCCCAGAACTGCCTGCCTGTTGGAGAGTTTGAGACCAAGCCTGGGCTACAGAGTCTGTCTCAAAAATAGGTAAAGAAAATGTGAAATCTCTTCTTGTCTGTACTATCTTCAATATCCCTAAAAAAGTATAAATAAGAGATTACAAAATTTTGTACAGCTGAAGCCTTGTAAGTTAGGAAGAATGTTGGCATATTTATACCAACCAACATGATTCTGTAGAGGAAGCAAACAAGATGTTCTGCTTGTACATATCACAATATTCAAAAGAAAATTATGGCCAGGCGCTGGTGGCTCACACCTATAATCCTAGCTACTCAGGAGGCAGAGATCTGGAGGCTCACAGTTCCAAGCCAGCCCCTGCAAATAGTTCATGAGACCCTATCTCAAAAACACCCTTCACAAAGAAGGGCTGGCAGAGTAGCTCAAGGCGAAGGTCCTGAGTTCAAATCCCCTGACCATAAAAAAAAAAGAAAAGAAAATTATGGCGCATTTCAATATCCCATCTGGCATAACTTCAGGTTCAGAACTGTAAATATTCTTTAAAACTTGACTTCTGAGGTTCAGGGTATAGCTCAGCAGTACAGCAGTATAGCAAAACAAAAACAAAATAAAAAACCAAAGAACTTAATTCTCTGTCTCTGAGACAAATTAGAAACATACCTTGCCCATTTAACACATTCCTTTTTATTTTTTAAAATGTTTTCCTCTTGTGGGATGCTAGGCATTGAACCTAGTGTCTTGTGAATGCTAAGGAAGCCCTCTACCACTGAGCTACATCCCCAGCTCCCACTTAACACATTCTACAGATGAAATCTTACACTGTTTTCTACTGCTGCTGCAGAATAAGAGGTTATATTTATTAACAAACTTGAGGTGGGGGAAAAAAATCCCTGCATTTTATCACAGGTGTAGAAAAGTCATCCCAGTAGAACAAGCATGTTGTATGGAGTGTAACGATGAGTATGAAGAATAAGGTGTACGGTATGATATTGTTTCTCCAGGGAAATCAAGACCCAGAAAAACAGGAGAACCAGTCAGTCTGCCTAACAGCCCTCCACCTAGCTCCTGATGTGTTCCCTTCAAACTGTTTCTTGGGTACCTGGCCTGATACCCTCAAGCTGCTTTCAAGCTCCTGTTTGCCATATTATATTCTACTTTCTGATTCATCACCTCTGGTACTGGAATGGAACTGGTGGTCTACAGAACTGTCATTCTCTTTTCATCCCTATTCTCTATTTTATTTCATTTACCAGATGGAAGATTGTCCTGCCTTAATGGGTTTTTTTAATTCAGACTCTATCAGGTAGGTTCTAACTAAGTCTCAAATCAACCTCACTTCCCACCATGGCTGCACTGTTTATAATGATAATTGAATCCATATGGCTAGTTCATGTATGAAACTACTGCATTTTGTTTGAGAC